AAACAACTGCACCTCCCAGTCGCGAACCATTTCAACTCCCCCTCCCATTCCTCAGACGACATGTCCATCCTGGGCCTCCTGCAGTGCCACAACGATGCCACCCGAAGGTTGCAGGAACAGCAACTCATATTCCGCTTGGGAACCCTGCAGCCCAATGGTATCAATGTGGATTTCACAAGTTTCAAAATCTCCCCTCCCCCCACCGCATCCCAAAACCAGTCCAGCTCGTCCCTGCCTCCCTAACCTGTTCTTCCTCCCACCTATCCCCTCCTCCCACCTCAAGCCGCACCTCCATCTCCTACCGACCAACCTCATCCCGCCCCCTTGACCTGTCCGTCCTCCCTGGACTGACCTATCCCCTTCCTAACTCCCTACCTACACTCACCTTTCCTGGCCCCATCCCCGCCTCTTCGACCTGTTTGTTTCCTCTCCACCTATCCTCTCCTCTATCCCTCTTCTATCCGCCTCCCACTCTCTCCCTATTTATTTCAAAACCCCCTTCCCCTCCCCCTTTTCTGATGAAGGGTCTAGGCCCGAAACGTCAGCCTCTCTGCTCCTATGATGCTGCTTGGCCTGCTGTGTTCATCCAGCCCTGCACCTTGTTGTCTCGGATTCTCCAGCATCTGCAGTTCCTACTATCTTAGATTCTGGGAAGTGCAGGTTAAGTGTTGCTTCACCTGGAAGGTATGTTTGGGCCCTTGGATACTGAGGAGGGAGGAGGTAAATGCGCAGGTGTTGCATTTTTGCCAGTTACAGGGGAAGGTGCCATAGGGCTGCAGGGAGGTGTTGGGGGTGACGGAAGTGTGGACCAGGGTGTCACAGAGGGAACGGTCCCTGTGGAAGGCGGACAAGGGAGGGGAGGGCAATATGTGTCTGGTGGTGGCATCTTGCTGGAGGTGGCGGAAATGGCGTCTGATGATCTTCTGGATGTGGATGCTGGTGGGATGGTAGGTGAGAATAAGGGGAACCCTATTGCTGTTGCGGGAGGGAAAAGAAGGGGCGAGGGCGGAAGTGCAGGAGATGGGTCGGACCTGGTGAGGGCCCTGTCGACAACGGAGCTGGGGAATCCTTGGTTGAGGAAGAAGGTGGACATTTCGGAGGCTCCCTTGTCAAAGTTGGCCTCATCTGAACATATGCAATGGAGACGGAGGAACTGAGAGAATGGGATGGAGTCTTTACAGGAAGTGGGGTGTGAGGATGTATAGTCCAGGTAGCTCTGGGAGTCAGTGGGTTTGTAATGTCTATCCACAGAAACGGAAACAGAAATGTCGAGGAAGGGAAGGGAGGAGTCAGAGATAGACCAGGTGAAAGTGAGGGCAGGGTGGAAATTGGAGGCAAAATTGATGAAGTTTTCCAATTCCAGAGAGGGAAGCAGCATCGATGATACCATCGATGTATCGAAGAAAGAGTTGTGGGTGGGGGCCGGAATAGGACTGGAACAAGGAATGTTCCACGTACCCCACGAAGAGACAGGCATAACCAGGGCCCATGCGGGTACCCATGGCTACCCCTCTTACCTGAAGAAAATGAGAGGAGTTGAAAGAGAAGTTGTTGAGGGTGAGGACAAGCTCGGTCAAGCGGAGGAGGATGGTGGTGGGTGGGGATGGTTCAGGTCTTTGCTCCAGGAAGAAGCGGAGAGCCCTAAGACCCTCCTGGTGGGGAATGGATGTGTAAAGGGATTGCACATCCATGGTAAAGAGGAGGTGGCTGGAACCGGTAAACTGGAAGTTTTGAAAACCAGCATAAGGCGACAGATGAATCATGGATATATGTGGGTAGGGATTGGACCGGGGGGAGAAGACTGAGTCTAGGTAGCAACAGATGAGTTCTGTGGGGCACAAGCAGGCTGAAACAATGGGTCTGCCTGGACAGTCCTATTTGTGGATTTTTGGCAGGAGGTAGAAACGAACTGTGCAGGGGTGGGGGACTATTAGCTTGGAAGCAGAGGGGGTGAGATCACCGGATGAAATGAGATCCGTAACTGTAGTGGATACAATGGCCTGATGTGCCATGGTGGGGTCATGGTCCAGAGGAAGGTAGGAGGAGGCATCCGAGAGCTGGCGCTCAGCCTCTGCAGGGTAGAGGTCAGTACTCCAGACTAAAACAGCACCACCCTTATCGGCAGGCTTGATGACAAAGTCAGGGTTAGATCTGAGTGCATAGAGTGCAGTCAGTTTGGAGGGAGATAGGTTGGAGTTGTTGAGAGGGGCAGTGAAATTGAGGCGACTAACGTCACGTTGACAGTTCTCAATGAAAAGATCGAGTGCGGGTAAAAGGCCGGAGGGAGGGGTCCAGGGGGAGGGAGAGTGTTGGAACTGGGCAAAGGGTTCTGTGGGACGGGGAGTGGACTCTTGTCCAAAGAAATGAGCACGGAAGTGAAGATGGCGGAAGAAGAATTCGGCGTCATGTCGTGCCCGAAAATTGTTAAGGTGATGCCACCACCAGACACATATTTCCCTCCCCTCCCTTGTCCGCCTTCCGCAGGGACCGTTCCCTCTGGGACACCCTGGTCCACACTTCCTTCACCCCCAACACCTTCCCACAACCCTATGGCACCTTCCCTTGTAACCGGCGAAGGAGCAACACCTGCGCATTTACCTCCTCCCTCCCCAGTATCCAAGGGCCCAAACATACCTTCCAGGTGAAGCAACACTTCACCTGCACTTCCCAGAATTTAGTCTGTTGCATTCGCTGCTCACAAATGTGGTCTCCTCTACACTGGGGAAACGAAGCATAGACTTGGTGACCGCTTCACAGAAAATCTACGTTCTGCTCACAAAAAAGACCCTGAACTACCAGCTTCCTGCCACTTCAATGCATCACCCTGCTCCCTGGCCAACACCTCTGTCTCAGGCTTGCTACAGTGTTCCAGTGAAGCCCAATGCAAGCTGGAGGAACAACGCCTCATTTTCCGCTTGGGGACCCTACAGCTCTCCGGACTCAATATTGAGTTCAATAATTTTAGGGCCTAAGCTCTCCCATGTCCCAACCCCCCACCCCACACACCAGGTCTTGTTACCACATAGCCTGCCATTACACACCCGCTGTTGTTAGCCACTAACAGTCCCCATTAACAACTTCTGACCCTCCCAGCCTGAGCATTAGCAACTCCTTTGTCTGTCCAACTGTCTTTCTCTCTCTTTGGGCTCTATCCTATTGTTTACTACCTACCCCACCCACCTCCCTAATTTCTGCATATAAACTGACGTCTTCCCAACTACCATCAGTTCTGAGGAAGGATCACCGGACCCGAAACGTTAACTCTGTTTTCTCCTTCACAGATGCTGCCAGACCTGCTGAGCTTTTTCAGCAACTTTGTTTTTGTTCCTGATTTACAGCATCTGCAGTTCTTTTGGTTTTTTATTTAGAAGTCGAAGGTAATTGTTGTTTGTTTTTGCATAGAAAATATGCATAATACTTAACATTTTAATTCCAAATCTGAAATCCTTACAGCTTGGTTGGATAAGAGTAGCAAGGTGGACGAGCTCCTAATAATGGCACCATGTTACAGGAAGCCATTCAATCG